TGTGTGTCTGTGTGTATAGATAGATAGATAGTCATATAAATAATGAAAAATAAATAATATAAAATGCCATTTGATCCTTTACTTAACACACATACCAAAATCGTTTGGCTTGCTCGGTGTATAGAGAATACAGAGAGATGTATAAACTGCAACGCGTGTCACAGATTTCAAGACACAGTCCATTTACTTCATTGGAAAAAGAATAAAAATATATAGTAGACTTTGAGTCACTTACCTGCAAACTTACCATAGCTAATAAAATGGTACAGGTGAAAGAGCAGTCTGTGCAGAGAAAGATTTCCAAATAAAGTCATTTTTTACAATTATTTTTATTATTATAAAGAAACATTATTGTAAAAAAAATGGATTTAAAGTCAAAATATCTAAAAGTTCCAAGAGCTGTGACTAATACTTTTTGATACTGTAGAATAATGGGAGTGTTTTTGGTACTTTTTGTTGAATCTAAATTAAATTCCTAATAGAAGAATGTTATTATTTTTAAGCTGTTTCCATCTGGTTGCTTGCCCAAACCACACGTCCGCTACCACGCTCCGAAACATCTGTACGCTCATCCATCGTTCGTTACACAGGGTAGTGTTGGGTAACTTCCCGTTCTGTACAATCTGTCAGACTGTAACACACATTTATTCCAATGGGAAAATATTTGCCCTTGAGACACCATCAACATTATACCATAACAACACTCTCTGCACAGACCTGTGGTATTAAAGAGGGTACCCCGCTCAACTGATAAATTCCTAACCTGAAAATAAAAAACTCAGAACTGTATTATCCATGGGTGAAGCCACACACTGGCCGACTCAAGCATTTTCTATTAGTATTTACATTTTCTATAAGTCAATACACCATCAGTGTCAAACAGCAATACACTTCAAACCTCTCACCCCGATCCTAATCTCGTGGTTTCAATGATTTCAGTAAACAAATTCCCACACGCAACTCCCATTACTCTGGGACAGCTGGATGGATGGCAATATAAAGCTACAGAAAAAGGGAAAATTATTGTCTAGTTTACTGGGACACTGAACGGGTCAGAGTGCCAATAAATTAGACAGTAGTAGAGACGTACGGATACCGCACTCACCAGGTAATCCGGGTGCTCTGAATCCAGCCCCCCTTCCAAGATACGCAGAACAAATAATGTTTCAGGCACTCTGGAATAACAGAAATAGCAGCTTTATTGGGGCAAAAGCAGCTCAAGCTTGATAAAGACCTGGTAGGGACAAAACGTTGCTGCTTTTGCCCCCATTAAAGCTGCTATTTTTGTTTTGTTTTTTGAAATTGCACATCATAATTACAGAGATATGGTTTGAGAAGCATTGACAAATTTTACGTAGGAAGGCTTTACAGCGAGGAGTGAGCAGCCTGCAGAGTGTACAGGGTGACTGGGTTCTAAAACCCATTTCTTCAATTAAGATTCACAATTGGGGTTACCGGGAGGTAAAATATCAGGCCGTCAGTTAGTGTACCCCAAACTGTGGGGGCTGCAGGGGGGACCCAGAGTAAGGAGCTAAACATCCACTATGTGGGTCAAATTAACAGCGCTCCTGTGGTAAAGAAGCCAGGTACTGCATATCCTTTAGGAGAAGATGTTATGTGTAACGCACAGTTTTGCCCACAAGAGGTTAAAAACCGTTTAGGCGATATTCCCCTTTCAGATGCACAGACAGCTACTGCAATCACCAATCTCTCAAACTGCAAACTACACGAATTCTCCAACTCCAGAACAGGAAACTCATGAATACTGGAAACAGCTGAACAGGAAAAACCATATGCAAGGTTTACACTCCAGGCAGTCAGTCAGGGCCGGACTGGCCCACCGGGATACCGGGAAATTTCCCGGTGGGCCGCCGCACCTGGGGCCGGTCTGACAGCCCTGATCATTGGGCTCCTGTGCAGCCCTGTAATCCCGGCCGGCTATGTGTGAGCTGTGCGGCCGCACAGAGCCCCATGGGAGCAGGGGGTGCCAGGCGGCCGGCACAGCTCACACATGGCCGCCCAGGATGAGAAAAATTTTTTTTTTTAAATTTGTGGCGGGGCGGGGCTTACGTGCGGCGGGGGCGGGGCTAGCGTGCGGCGGGGGCGGGGCTTACTGTGCGACGGCGGCCTGGCTGACTGCAGCATGGGAAGCAGGAAGGAGTTCCTGCTTCCCCAACAACCAGTCTGCAGGAGCTCCAAGCAGGAGGGAAGAAGCAGGTCAGTGTGTGTGTGTGTGACTGTCTGTGTGTGTGTGTGTGTGTGTGTGTGTGTGTGTGACTGTCTGTGTGTGTGTGTGTGTGTGGATTGTCTGTGTGTGACTGTGTGTGTGTGCGTGCATCGCCCGTGAGTGTGCGGACTGTCCGTCTGTGTGTGTGTGTGTGCGGACTGTCTGTGCGGACTGGCCGCTCCGTGAGTGTGTGACCGTCTGTGTGTGTGTGTGTGTGTGTGTGCGTGCGGACTGTCCGTGCGGGAATTCCCCGTCTGTGTGCGTGTGTGTGCGTGCGTGACTGCCTCGTGAGTGTGTGGAATCGTTCGTCTGTGTGTGTGTGTGTGTGTGTGACTGTCTGTGTGACTGCCCGTGAGTGTGTGCGGGACTGTCTGTGTGTGACTTTCTGTGTGTGTGTGACTGTGTCTTGTGTGTGTGTGCGTGTGTGTGTGTGTGACTGTCTGTGTGCACGCCTGCGAGTGCGTGACTGGTCTGTGCGGACTGTCTGGGGAAGTGGTGTGTGTGTGGACTGCCCTGTGTGTGTGACTGTCTGGTGAGTATGTGACTGTGTGAGTATGTGACTGTCTGTGAGTGTGTGACTGTCTGTGAGTGTGTGACTGTCTGTAAGTGTGTGACTGTCTGTGTGAGTGTGTGACTGTCTGTTTGTGACTGTGTGTGTGTGACTGTCTGCCTGTGTGTGTGTGTGTGTGTGTGTGACTGTCTGCCTGTGTGTGTGTGTGTGTGACTGTCTGCCTGTGTGTGCGTGTGTGTGTGACTGTTCAAAGTATTCACCGTGAGTGTGCGGGACTGTCTTCGTGTGTGTGTGTGTGTGACTGTCTGTGTGTGACTGTGTCTGTGTGTGTGTGTAAAAGCGTGTGTGTGTGTGTGTGGACGCCGGTGAGTGTGTGGACTGTTCGCCCGTGTGTGTGTGTGCTTAATTGTCTGTGTGGAACGCCCCAGTGTGTGTGGACTGTTCGTGTGTGTGACTTCTTGTGTGTGTGTGTGACTGTGTCTGTGTGTGTGTGCGGGACTGTCTGTGTGTGACTGCTCAGAGTGTGACTGTCTGTGTGACTGTCTGTGTGTATGTGCATGACCAACAGGTTCGTGTGTGTGTGTGTGTGACCGTCTGTGCGTGACTGCCTGTGAGTGCGGGACTGTCTGTGTGACTGTGTGTGTGTGCGGACTGTCTGTGTGTCTGTGTGAGTGTGTGACTGTCTGTGTGTGCCTGTCTGACTGAGTGTGTGACTGTGAGTGTGTGACTGTGAGTGTGTGACTGTCTGTGTGTGCCTGTCTGACTGAGTGTGTGACTGTGAGTGTGTGACTGTGAGTGTGTGACTGTCTGTGAGTGTGTGACTGTGTGACTGTCTGTGTGCGTGACTGTCTGTGCGTGACTGTCTGCCGGTGTGTGTGTGACTGTCTGCCTGTGTGTGAGTGTATGGCTGTCTGCCTGTGTATGTGTGTGGCTGTCTGCCTGTCTTTGTATGTGTGGGTGTTTGCCTCGGTGTCAGTGACTGTCTGCCGGTGTGTGTGTGTGGCTGTCTGCCTGGGTGTCAGTGACTGTCTGCCTGTGTGTGTGTGTGGCTGTCTGCCTGGTTGTCAGTGACTGTCTGCCTCTGTGTGTGTGTGTGTGTGTGCGTGCATCTGCTAGTGAGGGAGCCTCTGTGTGTGTGTGTGTGTGTGTGTGCCTGCTAGTGAGTTTGTGCCTGCTAGTGAGTGAGCTTGTATGTGTGTCAGTGAGCTTGTCTGTAGGGATCATGTGTGTGTGTGTGTGTGTGTGTGTTAGTGAGCTTGTCTGTAAGGAGCATGGGTGTGTCGAAGCCTGTCGGTGGTGAGCATGTGTGAACAGTGAGCTTGTCTGTAGTAAGCATGAGTGTGATCGTGAGCTTGTCTGTAGTGTAGTGACCATGTGTGTGTCAGTCAGCTTGTCTGTAGTGAGCATGTATGTGTCAGTGAGCTTGTCTGTAGTGAATCTGTGTGTTAGTGAGCTCTTCTGTAGGGAGCGTGTGTGTCAATGGGCTTGTCTGTAGGGAGAGTGTGTGTGCATCAGTGAGCTTATCTGTAGTGAGCGTGTGTGTGTGACAGTGAGCTTGTCTATAGTAAGCTTGTGTGTGTGTATCAGAGTTTGTCTGTACTAAAGTTGTGTGTGTGCCAGTAACCTTGTCTGTGTGTGTCATTGTCTGTCAATGAGCCTATTTGTGTGCATTAGTAAGATTGTCTGTCTGTGTGTGAGTATGCTTTACTGTATAATTTAATTACCCTAAAAGAACTAATATTTTGAATTAGAAGAAGAACTGTATCAATAAAATATATATATATATATATATATATATATATATATATATATACACACACACACACACACTGTTGCATCACCAGGGCTCCAGTATATATATAGGCAATTGAAATAGTTGGCTGCACTCTTGGATTTCCTTAAAATTTTACTTTTATTGAAATATTTAAGAGAAGATCAACGTTTCAGTCCCTCTTGTGGACTTGCATCAGGATCATGACAAAAGTCCACAAGAGGGACTGAAACATTGATCTTCTCTTAAATATTTCAATAAAAGTTACATTTTCAAGAAATCCGAGAGTGCAGTCAACTATTTCAATTGCCTATATATATTTTATATATTTTATATATATATATATATATATATATATATATATATATATATATATATATAAAAATCCAGATAACCCCTGCACTCCAACTGTAATAAATCTTAAATATCTGGTGCTCTGGTAGCTGAATAGAATATAGTAAAATAATACCGGCACTCAAGGGTTTCACCACAAATAGATCTTCATTTATTTCGAAGAATGGATCGACGTTTCAGCTCCTCACAGGAGCTTTCATCAGGAAAAGCTCCTGTGAGGAGCTGAAACGTCGATCCATTCTTCGAAATAAATGAAGATCTATTTGTGGTGAAACCCTTGAGTGCCGGTATTATTTTACTATATATATATATATATATATAAAAACACCCTACATAACACAATGACTTATGGGGCTGGCATAGATTTTTTTCCAGGGCTGCTTTGTATCCCCAGTCCGGCCCTGCAGTCAGTATACAATCCAATTCCCCCAATAACAAGACGACACTTCGTTTGAGGGTTAAGCAGAATCTGTTTACTGGCACCAAGAGAACCTTCTTTTATGCAGGTTTCCCTTAGATAGGACCACCCACAGGGTTTTACAAACAACCAATCATACATGTATATTACAGAAACACACCCAGCAATTACACACAAAAATCCTCCCCTCTGCCTGTGATATAATTATGTTACACAATGGTTTAACATAATTAACACAGGAAGGAAAAATAAAGTTTTTACACATATCCTGTAACGTTAAAACCAATCTCCATAAATTACATATTTAGAATCAGCAACCTTTAAATATAAACATAACCAAAAATAAGCCAAATTGGTCCATTGGTTCAAAAGATAGATCGAAGTCCTTTGTGACCAAATGAAGCATGGCTTTTCTGCCCAAAACCAGTTCCACAGAGTCTTCTATCCTGGAGATAATTGGGAAGTAATCAAATTATTTCCAAGGACAGAGGCAAAACTCCATTGAACACATGGCAGCAAAAGACAATAAAATACATAAAACTATATAACTGTGCAGCCATTGCATAAAACAGGTACATTCAACATATCCCCAGATAGCTCAGATCTGAGCGCACATTATCACTGAATGGCGTTCAGATCACACACATACAGTTCAATTGCCAGGGAGCCAAAGTCTTTCCCATAGTCTTTCATTATACGAATGGGCTCCATGGCATAGCTATCTGGGGTATCACCACTCAAACAGGGCAAGCACGTAATGACCCGGCTTTCGTGTCTTTGCAGGGGAAAATCAAGCGTTTCAACATGGGGCCATAGTCTAAAGGCAGCAGACGGGCAACCAGGCTTCTCCAGTGCATAGTGGCGAGGTTGGTTCCGCCACATTTCTCCCCTTTACCAATCAGACTAACAGGGTATTTGACCTCCTGCCGGTCAGTGCCCTTGTTAGTCAAGTAGCCCACCCACAAAACACAATCAGTAATACAGCCCACCCACAATAACTGGTTACTACACCTGGGTAGAGGAGAAACTTGTCCATGTCCAGGTGCCTCACCATGGCTGTGTGGGTGACTGGTAAGCTGACTTGGTGGGTTGCTGAGTGGGCAGAGACCAGTGGTACATTGCCCTGGTGCCAGCACTACCACGGGAGTAGTCTGGTTGGAGCCTGGTTGCTGGAGGGGGAGACCGCCTGTCTCCCCTTTGGCTAAACAGCCCTGTCGCTGGGGGGGCAAAAACGACCGTCCCTACCCCCTGTGCTGTAAGTGCAGAGACCACGGTCCCATCTGCATGGTTGTGGGGCTTCTCAACTCCCCTTGGTGGGCTAGGCCGCTGCTGGGAGGGGGAAACGAGGCTCTCCCCTCCCTGTAGAATACTCTGCCACTGGGGAGCCCGACCGACTGTCCGTACTCCCTGTAGCTTGGGCGCAGAGACCACGGTCCCATCTACACCCGTGGGCTACGCTGCCGCTGGGGAGAAGGGGCAACAAGCTCCTCTCACTGACACTCTCTCTGCTGGTGGAGAGGGGGACCAACTGTCTCCCCTTTCAATATATTGTCCCGCTGCTGGGGAGCGAGACCGACGATCTCTGCTCCCTGCCGGACACACTGCCGCTGGGGAGGAAGGACGGCACCTTCGGCTCCCTGTAACACGCTCTGCCACTGGGGAGGAAGGACAACCTCTTCAGCTCCCTGGGACTCACTGAACTGCTGGGGAGAGGGACCCACGGACTCCTCTCCTAAGGACACACACTGCCACTGGGGAGGAAGGACGGCACCTTCAGCTCCCTGTAACATGCTCTGCCGCTGGAGAGGAAGGACGGCACCTTCAGCTCCCTGTAATAAACACTGTCGCTGGGGAGGAAGGACGGCACCTTCACCTCCCTGGGACACACACTGCCGTTGGGGAGGAAGGATGGCACCTTCAGCTCCCTGGGACACACACTGCCGCTGGGGAGGAAGGATGGCACCTTCAGCTCCCTGGGACACACACTGCTGTTGGGGAGGAAGGACGACACCTTCAGCTCCCTGGGACACACATTCCGCTGGGGAGGAAGGACAGCACCTTCATCTCCCTGTAATAAACACTGCCGCTGGGGAGGAAGGACAGCACCTTCAGCTCCCTGGGGCACACACTGCCGCTGGGGAGGAAGGACGGCACCTTCAGCTCCCTGGGACACACACTGCCGCTGGGGAGGAAGGACGGCACCTTCAGCTCCCTGTAACATGCTCTGCCGCTGGAGAGGAAGGACGGCACCTTCAGCTCCCTGTAATAAACACTGTCGCTGGGGAGGAAGGACGGCACCTTCGGCTCCCTGTAACACGCTCTGCCGCTGGGGAGGAAGGACGACCTCTTTAGCTCCCTGGGACTCACTGAACTGCTGGGGAGAGGGACCCACGGACTCCTCTCCTAAGGACACACACTGCCACTGGGGAGGAAGGACGGCACCTTCAGCTCCCTGTAACATGCTCTGCCGCTGGAGAGGAAGGACGGCACCTTCAGCTCCCTGTAATAAACACTGTCGCTGGGGAGGAAGGACGGCACCTTCAGCTCCCTGGGACACACACTGCCGTTGGGGAGGAAGGATGGCACCTTCAGCTCCCTGGGACACACACTGCCGCTGGGGAGGAAGGATGGTACCTTCAGCTCCCTGGGACACACACTGCTGTTGGGGAGGAAGGACGACACCTTCAGCTCCCTGGGACACACATTCCGCTGGGGAGGAAGGACAGCACCTTCATCTCCCTGTAATAAACACTGCCGCTGGGGAGGAAGGACAGCACCTTCAGCTCCCTGGGGCACACACTGCCGCTGGGGAGGAAGGACGGCACCTTCAGCTCCCTGGGACACACACTGCCGCTGGGGAGGAAGGACGACACCTTCAGCTTCCTGTAATAAACACTGCCGCTGGGGAGGAAGGATGGCAGCTTTAGCTCCCTGTAATACACACGGCCGCTGGGGAGGAAGGACGGCACCTTCAGCTCCCTGTAACTCCCTCGGCCGCTGGGGAGGAAGGACGACACCTTCAGCTCCCTGTAACACAAACTGCCGCTGGGAAGGAAGGATGACACCTTCAGCTCCCTGGAACTCACCCTGCCGCTGGGGAGGAAGGACGACACCTTCAGCTCCCTGTAACACACACTGCCACTGGGGAGGAAGGACGGCACCTTCAGCTTCCTGGGACACACACTGCCGCTGGGGAGGAAGGACGACACCTTCAGCTCCCTGGGACACACACTGCCGCTGGGGAGGAAGGACGATACCTCCAGCTCCCTGGGACACACACTGCCGCTGGGGAGGAAGGACAGCACCTTCAGCTCCCTGGGACCCACACTGCCGCTGGGGAGGAAGGACGACACCTTCAGCTCCCTGGGACACACTCTGCCGCTGGGGAGGAAGGACGACATGCTTCTCTCTCTGTAACTTGCTCGGCCACTGTGGTCTCTCCCAACCTGCCAACTCACGTGTCCGCCCAGCTCCGACCTGCAGGTACTCTTCTACATGTCTCCTCACAAGCTGCACGTATTTCTCCGGGGGGTTGGGTCCAAGGAAATCCTGCCACGTGGTAAACTCTCTGTCATACTGCTCCTGAGTGTAGCTAAGTGCCAGGCTTGCGCTGCTGAAGTTGGTTCTTTTGTAGATAGGGTCGCTGTACGGGTACTAGCGTTGCCCTCAATTTGTAATCCAGGAACTGGTGTTGTCTTATAGCTGTCCTTCTGGGCTGTGGAAATGATCCCGTCACTTGCCACCAATTGTAACGGACCGTTTTGCCCACAAGAGGTTAAAAACTGTTTAGGCGACATTCCCCTTTCAGATGCTCAGACAATCACCAATCTCCAATCTCCCGAACTGCAAACTACACGAATTCTCCAACTCCAGAACAGGAAACTCATGAATACTGGAAACAGCTGAACAGGAAAAAAAATACGAAAGGTTTACACTCCTGGCAGTCAGCATACAATCCAATTCCCCCAATAACGAGACGACACTTCGTTTGAGGGTTAAGCAGAATCTGTTTACTGGCACCAAGAGAACCTTCTTTTATGCAGGTTTCCCTTAGATAGGACCACCCACAGGGTTTTACAAAACAATCAATCATACACATATATTACAGAAACACTCCCAGCAATTACACACAAAAATCCTCCCCTCTAATCCAATTATCTCCAAAGACAGAGGCAAAACTCCATTGAACACTTGGCAACAAAAGACAATAAAATACATAAAACTATATAACTGTGCAGCCATTGCATAAAACAGGTACATTCCCCAGATAGCTTAGATCTGAGCGCACATTATTACTGAATGGCGCTCAGAGCACACACATACAGTTCAATTGCCAGGGAGCCAAAGTCTTTCACATAGTCTTCCATTATACGAATGGGCTCCATGGCATAGCTATCTGGGGTATCACCACTCAAACAGGGCAAGCACGTAATGACCCGGCTTTCGTGTCTTAACAGGGGAAAATCAAGCGTTTCAACATGGGGCCATAGTCTAAAGGCAGCAGGCAGGCAACCAGGCTTCTCCAGTGCATAGTGGCGAGGTTGGTTCCGCCACATTATGTATTCAGCTTAGCGCCAATTAGGTGACAATAAAGCAAAACATAACAATAATATTAAGGCAAAACAAGAAGGAAAAACTTTGAACCGCACTGAGGCATCACAGTCCCTGTTAAAATCAAGTCCCTGGTATTGGGGTTGGTTTAGGGTCAGAGTGATGAAGGACAGTGTTAGCTGGGTCCCGTACATGGCTGTCCTGCAGTCCGCCAAGGTCGGAGATAGGCAAGGGTAGGCTCAAGGCCTGCCGGAGGGCTGGTGAATTAGCTAGAGAGAAAATTTGGTGCGCTGTC